GAGAGAAGTCGGAAAGGGAAAATGGATGAAGGGGTTCAGGCAGCGGATATGACCCCCAGTTCGAAGAGTAGACAAGAATTAATGGAGGCTCGTCGAGGAGTGGAGGGTATTGGCGGTGTGGGAGGAATGTGGAGGTCAGAACAACGAAGCAGAAAACTGGAATTATCGGTGTTCAACGGCGAGGACCCAGATGGGTGGATCTTTAGGGCTGAAAGATATTTCTCCATTAATCAAATGGGAGAAGAGGAAAAAATGGAGGCTACAGCGGTGTCTTTGGAAGGAGAAGCCCTAGCATGGTTCGAGTGGGAAAAAAAGAGGCGGAAATTGCAGAGATGGGAGGAGCTTAAATTATTGATACTGAAGAGGTTTCGACCATCTCATGAAGGAACATTGAAGGAGAAATTCTTAGCACTCCGGCAAGAAGGCTCCGTTTGAGAATACCGGAGGCGCTTTGAGACCTTGGTAGCTCCTCTCGATGTGGTGTCAGAGGCGATTTTGGAAGGGAATTTCATTAATGGATTGAGACCCGAAATAAGGGCTGAGGTGCGGCTTTTGAGGCCCAAAAACTTGGGCCAAATGATGGAAGTGGCCCGAAGAGAGGAACCAAGCACTTAAAATGGCCCAAGGAGGATTTAGCCCACACAAAGGCAAAGCCAGCAATGACAACCTGATTGCGAGCTCCCCTTCGCACTCTCTCCCAAAATCGCCACTGTCCATGGGCTCTCGGGCGGTCTTCACTGGTAAAACCTCTCCACCCATGCACTTGTCTTTCAAGCGGCTCAGTGAGGCCGAGTTGCAACTTAAAAAGGAGAAGGGACTATGCTTTAGATGTGACGAGAAGTACACAGTTGGGCATAAATGCAAGAACAAGGATTTGCAAGTATTGATAATACAAGATGGAGAAGTTCCGGAAGCTGTAGAAGAGGAGTGGATTGTGGGGGAAAACGGCAGTGATAAGGAGGTTGTTGAGTTGGGGGAAATGGTGGAGCTGTCCATGAATTCGGAGGTCGGCTTGACCCCACCCCGCATCATGAAGATCAGAGGCGAAATTCAAGGACAATCGGTGGTGGTTCTGATCGATTGCGGGGCTACCCATAACTTCATTTTGACAGAGTTGGTGCAAAAGTTGGGACTCCTTAGAACCGCCACTACCGGCTACGGAGTAATCATGGGGATGGGTCTCGCGATCCAAGGAGCAGGAGTGTGTAAACAGGTGGTGTTATCACTTCAGAACATTGAGGTGGTTGAAGATTTATTGCCAATTGATTTGGGCAGTTCAGACGTGATCTTGGGTATGAAATGGTTAGCTAATCTAGGCGGCACACAGGTGAATTGGAAGGAGCTAACCATGAAATTCAGCATGGGAGGCACATCTGTCACCTTATGCGGTGATCCCAGCCTCAGCAAAACCTTAGTCTCCATGAAGTCAATGATTAAAGCGTTGAGAGAGAGTGGTGAAGGAATGTTACTGGAACTAGGAAACATCAATGCTAAGGAATTGCAGGCGGGAACACCATTGGTTTTGGAAAGGGTACTCATCGAATTCTTCGGGGTGTTTGAAGAGCCCCAAGGCCTACCACCTAACTGCAGTCGAGATCTATTGTGTTGCAACCAGGAGCAGCACCAGTAAACGTAAGACCTTATCGTTACCCATAGGTGCAGAAGAATAAATTAGAAAGATTGGTCCGAGAGATGTTGGCAGCAGGCATTATCAGACCTAGCACTAGCCCCTTCTCCAGCCCGGTGATATTGGTCAAGAAAAAAGACGAAAGTTGGCGTTTTTCTGTGGACTACCGGGCGTTAAATCAAGTAACAGTGCTGGACAAGTTTCCTATTCAAGTTATTGAAGAGCTCCTGGATGAATTGCACGGAGCAGCAATGTTTTCCAAGTTAGATTTGAAGGCCGGTTATCATCAGATTCGGGTAAAGGAAGGAGATGTACCGAAGACAGTGTTTCGAACTCACGAGGGGCACTATGAGTTCCTTGTTATGCCGTTCGGACTTACCAACGCCCCAGCCACATTTCAGTCACTTATGAATGAGGTCGTTAAATCACAATTAAGACGTTTTGTCTTAGTTTTTTTTTATGACATACTTGTCTGTAGTTGTAGTATAGGGGAGCATTATGAGCATTTGAAATGTGTGTTGTCCTTGTTGGCTAGACATAAATTGTATGCCAACAAAAGAAAATGTCAGTTCGGGCAAGAGGAGGTTGAATATTTGGGGCACATTATATCAAAAGCAGGGGTATCAGCAGACCAGACCAAGATCAAGGCACTGTGTGACTGGCCTAGCCTCAGGAATCTCAAAGAACTTCGTGGATTTTTGGGGTTAACTGGATACTAGTGGAGGTTTGTGAAGGGTTATGGCCAACTAGCTTGGCCGTTAACCGAAAGGTTGCGGAAAAATAATTTTTACTGGGATGAGATGGCAGAGGCTGCGTTCCAAAAACTGAAGGAGGCGATGGTTACGGTTCCAGTACTAGCCCTACCAGATTTTAGCAAACCGTTCATCGTGGAAACTGATGCTTTTGGGCATGGACTTGGGGCAGTTCTGATGCAAGAGCGGCGTCCCGTGGCTTATTTCAGCCATGCGTTAAACCCACACAGCCGAAGCAAGTCAGTATATGAGAGGGAGTTAATGGCCATTGTCTTCGCGATTTAAAAATGGAGACATTATCTCTTGGGACAGAAGTTTATTGTGCGGACAGATGAGAAAAGCTTGAGGTTTCTGTTGGAACAAAGAGTAGTTAACCCAGACTATCAAAAATGGTTGATTAAGCTAATGGGTTATCACTTCGACATACAATATCGATCGGGCCTCGAGAACAAGGCAGCTGATGCTTTGTCCAGGGTAAATCCAGCGGTTGAACTGATGGCAATAACCATCCCAAGGGTGCTGACACTAGACAAAGTAATAGAAGAAGTAAGGGCAGATGAAAGTCTGGGGAAAATACTGAAAGATACAGAGGCAGACCAGCTCTCACATTCGGGGTATTCCGTGTCGCACGGGCAGTTATTATACAAGGGGAGACTGGTGGTGCCAAAAGAGTCTACCTTGGTGCCTCTACTGTTGCAAGAATACCACGATGGGAGTATTGGAGGTCACTCAGGGGAACTCAAGACCTATAGGCGGCTGGCAGCCAATGTTTTCTGGAAGGGGATGAGAAAGGACGTCCAACAATATGTCCGCCAGTGTTCGGTTTGCCAACAGAATAAATACTTAGCATTATCACCAGCGGGAGTTTTGCAGCTGCTACCCATACCTGATCGAGTGTGGGAAGAAATTACTATGGACTTCATCGAAGGGCTGCCTAAGTCTGCAGGTATGGACACCATCTTAGTAGTTGTGGACCGACTAAGCAAGTATGCACATTTCTTGGGTTTGAAACACCCTTTCACGGCTAGTATAGTGACCAACTCATTCATTAAAGAGATGGTCCGTTTACATGGGGTGCCAAAGTCCATAGTATCCGACCGTGATAAGATTTTTATGAGTAAGTTCTGGGAGGAATTGTTTCGCCTGCAGGGCACACTAAGCTCAGTAGAAGCACCGCGTACTACCCTCAGTCCGATAGGTAGTCCAAAGTGGTGAATCGGACGCTGGAAACATACTTGCGTTGCTTTGCATCAACCAAACCGCGAGCCTGGTTTACTTGGCTTCCATGGGCAGAACTATGGTATAACACTTCGTATCATGTATCCTCTAAATATACCCCATTCCAGATTGTCTATGGAAGGGAGCCGCCTCCATTAATCCAGTTTGAGAAGGGTTCGACTGTAGTCTCAGCTATAGAGCAACAGTTGCTGGAAAGAGACCTGGTTTTAGAGGAACTTAAGGCGCAATTACTTAAGGCTCAGTCTAAAATGAAGCAAAGTACTGATGCTAAACAACATGAAGTACATTTTGAGGTGGGCGACCTGGTCCTCCTCAAAATTCGGCCGTATAGAAGAAAATCTTTGGCCAAGTGTCCAAATGAGAAGCTGGCCCCAAGGTTTTATGGACCCTATGCAGTGACAAAGAAGGTAGGAAAGGTGGCATACCGACTCAATCTACCCCGCACAGCCCAGATTCACCCAGTGTTCCATGTTTCCCAGTTAAGGAAAGCAGTAGGAACCTTTCAATCAGTGGAGGAACTATCTTCACAACTAAATGAGGAGCTCGAAATGCTGGTGGAACCCGAGGCAGTACTTGGAGTGAGGCCTGGAACTGGGGAAAACATACGCGGCCAGGACATCCTGATTCAATGGAAGGGAATGCCTCCCCTGGAAGCAACATGGGAACCCTATGATTCAATTGATCAGCAATTTCCCTCCTTCCACCTTGGGGACAAGGTGAGATTCGAAGGGGAGGGGTATTTGAAGGCTCTTTGGGGGGTGGGGGGGGGGTGGGGGGGGGGGGGGGGGGGGGTAATGATAGACCACCAATTAACGTAACATATGCAAGACGGGGTCAGGCGAAGCAGGGCAGGGGCAGAAAGGGAAATAAATCAGTGCATCTAGAAGGAAATCACGTGAGCTCAGGTGATGGCAACTAACAGCATGTGCAATCCGTTAGGAGGAGATTCTAGAAGGTCATCAACTACCATAAAAGGCAAGGAAAAACAGCAAGATTAAGCAGGGAAAATTCTAGCTTACCTGGGAGAGAATGAGCCTCTCGAATAGCTCATATCTTTTGTAATTTTTCTTCGTTCAAATTCCTTTTATTGTAATCGGTCAACTGTATTCAATCAAATTTCCAGTATTATTCCTTTTGAAGTCACCAATTATCTTTTCACAGATCTTTTCCTATCACTCACAAATGTTGCTCGAGTATGACATAAATATAATCACCCAGATATCTTCACTGTCTTCCCTTGTAACTAATGCGTCCATCTGATTAATAGACTGAATAATTACCAAAGAATAATGATTTTTATACTGAGGTAGCCGTTATGACAATGCTCATTGAAATTTCTGTGCATGAACCAGAAATAATTAGTCTTGCTCATTTCCTGACAGAATGTGGGCATGTGCAAAAGGTGCAGGATCAGACAAGATTTATATCTGCGGGAAAAATCAGTTACGTGGTTCTGAATACGGCATAATGCCAGACAGAATCGAAATGGGCACCTTCATACTTGCTGCTGCAATTACTTGATCTTGCATCCCTCTATCACACTAGCTTGTTAGACAAGCTCTCAGGTGCTGGCTGCAAAATATTTCCCAGGCATAGCAATCTGAAGGTATAAAAACATTTGTTGAGTCTCTCCCTCACCCACCACACACACACACACATGCACGCTCACACACAACAGGCATGAATTCTGATAATTAATGGATTTGGTACTCCAGCTTTCTGCAATCCCCGCAAGTAAGGGAGGTGACTTGCGAGGCTTCAATGTTAGAACCCAACCGTACCCTGGACTCCCAACAGATCTCCAACCCCAGACCATGGCTTTGCTTTCAAGTTCAAGCATTATAGAAGAATCTGTGTTTGAAAATCACATGGGTCATGGTATTTGAACTCAGTGATGCGAATCATTCAGTGATTATTTACCTTCCATTTTCTTTTCAGCATCAGCTGCCTACGCATAATTGCTACTATACTTTTAGAATGAATCTATGGAGGTTTTTATCAAAAAGTTTCTGCATGAACGGCTCTCTGGAGTTTGTAAGACATCATTTGATGCACGTAAAGTTGGGTATATCTTTGACCTGCTGATGTTTTATTTTGGATCTCTCATTTTCAGTAAGAGAATTACAGAAGTTTGGAGCCAAACTTGAGGTTTGTGGAAGTACTGCATTGGTTTTTGGCAAAGAGAATGGAAGGTTAGTTCTGTGTGCTTTTGACTAACCATAAAGAACTCGTTCTTCTATGCACATTCATATAACAAAAACTATACTGAAGTTTGATTCACTAATTGTCTTTTGGCAGACACTTTTCTGGTAGTCGTGTTGCTGCTACCGATTTAAGAGGCGGAATGTCATTGGTTTTAGCCAGGCTCGCTTCAGAAGGAACCACAGAAATTAGTGGAATTTCACATATTGATCGAGGTTATGAGAATCTGGAGTCCAAGCTTTGTCTCATAGGAGCTGATATCAAAAGACAGGATCTTAATAAAGGCCATGCCAGCAATTTTAGCACGCCTGTTCGCACGTCTATTACCGAATCAACATACGACATATAGGCATTAGTGCTAATCACTCAGGTGCACTAACCTACTGACCCATCGATATTTGAAAGATTACAATGTGTTTAGTAAGGCATATTTGTTACTTTTTGAGAGCATTTGGTTTAGATTTTTGCTATATTCCATGTGTAAACAGGAAGAAAGAGACTTGTACAACTGTATTTTACATCTATGCTAAATATGTTGCGCACGGGAATAAGATCAAACGAATTTATTCATAAAGTTTGTTTTCGAGTAACAGGTTCAGAGCAAAACAGTGACCACAATAGCATAACATAATGAATCCCAACAGCCTTATTCTCATACAATGGGTGCCTTCATATATCCCAAATGTGTTGAATTTGCAACTTTGGTTAGTGTCTTCAAGTCATAGACAATCCAACACCTAGAGTCAGTTTGGTGATAGAAATAGCCCACACACTTGCAATCTGTGGTACATTTGTTTGAGCATTGGCCCCCTGATATTGGCCCATTTCCTCTTGTATACTTAGTTATGAAATGGTCAACCCCTTCCAATTTGTAGAACTTAATATCTTTTGCTTTGCAAGACGTTATCTTTGGAGGCTCACAATTCTTGCTCCATCCCATTAGCCCATTTGGAAATGGACACGCAACACATTGGCTGTCCTCGCATAGTCCGAACTTTCCGCACCTCTCCGGCAACTGGCATTCGTCACCGGAATCTCTAGAGAAGAGTGTAAAAGTCACCTCCCATGCACTGTAATCTACCTTGTCATAAAATGTGTAGGCTTTTAGGGTGCCGTCGATCCCCAGTCGAAGATATGTTAATGTGCTGTTGTATTTAGGCCTAGATAAAATTCGAGCCCCTCCATTTGGGTACTCTAGTTTTAGTTCATATGCGTAAGCTTCCCGTGTCTCGGGATCACTAGCGAATTTTAAAGAATTTAGAGTGTTATTTCCGGTCGAAAGATAATCTGCAGAGTCGAAATATATCATAGGAGCCTGTGCATTGTTACTCTTGTAATACATGGCAAAACGTTTGGGTTCCAATACCAAACTATATGGCCCATCCTTATTCTCCTTTTCAGAAACCCGACCCACGAGCTTGTTTGGGCCTCCTACCCGAAGAGATTGGCCTACCAACAAAGTGTCCGTAGGAGAGTCAAAACTTTGCCATACAAAGTTGCCCTTGGAGTCATAGAGAACCATGTTACCATTTGGTAACAACTTGAACCCTACAACGCCCTTGTTCACCGTCATGGATTGCCATGCAATATGACCATTGGCATTGGCCAAAAGTAGGTTCCCATCAGTGCCCAAGGAGAATGTGGCATTTTCCCCGACAGGGCTTCCTCGATTGGCTTCCCAAACCCATCGCATAAGTGATTCAGAACGCACAGTGCCCATTCGCAAAGATAATGTATAAGCACCGGGCGTTGTGTTATAGAAACAAAGTTGAAAGGGAGTACTTGAAATCGACAGGACTCGATAATTGACACCATATTCAACAATGTAATCTCCAAATTCACCTTCATTGACAAACTTGAAGGTTTCTGAATCAGGAACTACTGCTTGAGCAATGAGAGAAAATGCAAAGAACAAGAAAAGAGCAAATAAGCAAGAAGAAGACATCCTATAAGTTGATAATACATTGGTATCCTACCCAAACTTTCTATATATATAGAGAAGAATAATAATATTATACTCATTGCAACTTGTCATTTGTCAATAATTACACATGCAATGCAATCTTGGTCAAAGGAGAATTATGGTCAAAGTAGATCTGCCCTCCTTAAAATAATAACAAGTGGGTTTCTCGATTAGTTTTTGAAACACGCTTTTGGTATAATTTCATGCGAAGGGGCCCTTTTTGGGTAAGGATAGCGAGAGAGGGTATGTACTGGAAGTCACTATATGTGGGAATTTTTTAAGCAGCCTTGAAAGTGTATCACGATCTATTCAAGACAATGACTTTTTATAGACGTCATTAACTATGTCATAAAAAAAAAATCTTAAAATAATAAAGATAATTAGAACAAGATATCCTCTATTGTTTGCATTCATTATGCAAACGTCTTTATCGTTTCAAATTGGCAATTGCACCTTCATTTTAATATTTTCTTATGGAGTTAGTCATTTTCGTCTCATTCTATCAATTCCTTCTGTTAAATATGAGTAATTGGTGCAAAACAACACTATCGTCTGTCTTCATTGCACAAATTGTCTCTGTCGTTTCAATTTTAGTATTTGGACCCACAGATAACCTTTTCTTTGTGCAAAAAGTCATTCTCATCTATTTTATCCATCAAAAAATTCTAAGATCTATAATTTACCATCCTCTTTAAATAAACAAATAGAAAGAATATAAAATAAATAAATAATTGTAGCAATGTACCAAACTTTTTTGAAAAATTATAAACGAATTTCATGTAAAACTATTTAAAACGTACCAACAAAAGAAAAACATTTCATCTTATCAATTAATCCCACCTAGTACTATCCCTATCCTCTACTCTCCACAACCACCAAAATAATTAAAAAGATAATTATAAGTATAAACAGAGTAAGAAAAGAATTTAAAATACGGGAAAAAAAAACGAAAACAAAATGGTTCTTCTTCCCAGCACCGTGGTATCGGCCACTATTACCACCACCATTCATTCTCCCCATCTCACTGCGGCACCATCTAGGGATTTAGCTATATTTGTATATTGTTTTCAGCAAAGTTAAAAGAGCGTTTTTAGGGATTTAACAATTTTCAGCAATTCTTAAAAACTTTAAGCCCTCGTTTGGCCTCCATTAAATTACATTCCATTTTTCTCTTCCCTATTTTCAAGCACACAATCTTTCATAAAATAATATTATACGTAAATCGAAAATTTTTACTTCTTTTTCGACAACTCATTTTTCAAAAAAACACTATTCTAAAGTCATCCACTAGAGGGTTCATTCAAGATCTTTGTCCAAACCAAAATCCTAACTATTCTAATTCAAACCCAGGTAAGACGAAAATAAATTTATTTATTTATTTATTATTATTATTATTTTTTTTTTTGGGAAAGATGAATTTTTTTCTCTCTCTTTTCATGTTAATATGTTTTAAATTATTTTAAGTAGAACTTGTTTTCACTATTCGAAAAATTTAGGATTTTGACTGCAATTATTTATTTTTTTATATAATTTTTTTTCTTTTCTATTTGTTTATTTAAGGAGGAGAGTAAATCATTTATTATACAATGTTTTAATGGAGAAAATAGACGAAAATGATCTTTTGAGTAATGAAGGCAAATAGTAGGTACATTTTGCACAATGACGGTAAATGAAGGGACATTTTGCACCAATTTTCAACATAAGTAATTGACAGAATGAGATGGAAATGATCAACTCCGCGAGAAAATATTGAAATGAGGGTGTAAATGTCAAATTTGAAACGAATGACATTTTGCACCAATTACCCATATTTAAATTTTATATTTAATCTTCCACTAAATTAACGTACATTATGTTTGAAAATGATTTCCGCTCAATAAATCTGATATAAGAACTTAAATAGACTTTTATGTCTCTTATATTTTGAAATGAGAAGGATGACATTAAGTACAGAAGTGTGGATTAACTTCAAAGAATGCAAACTGAATATTTGTATAGATACATTGCCATGGACCATATGTGTTATCAATGGAATGTTGAGGAAGAGAATTCAACAAAAAAAAAAAAGGTTTGGAATCCAAGTATTACAAGGATAAAAGATTAGGACTTAGTGATATTAAAATGCGTTGCAAAAAAATCCTTTGCACTAACAATCCTTAGTGGATTTCTCTATACATTGTTCAATCTTCATCGAACCTTCCTCTTTCAAAATCTGGCTCATAAGTGCTCCACGCCAACAATCTTGTAGTAATCCACCTTAGTTCCGCCCTGGCACCGTCCCAGCTGGGGGGCACATTCTCTAACATAATATCTTGAAAAGAAAGTAGAACTGTCGACCTCTCATCTCAAGTAGCTTACTTTGTCATAAAGCGTGTTTGAGCCCCATTTTTTTGTAAAAAATATATTTTGTAATAGTTATTTTTTTGGAGATATGTAGTTAGAAAGCAGGTAAAAATTTTAAATTCACGTGCGAAATTATTTTATTGAAAGAATGTATTGTTGAAAATAAGTTTGGGAAAAAAAATGAATTTTCAGAGAATGACAGTCAAGCAAGGTCATATGAAGTATAGGTCTTCATATTGCCAAATATAGGATCCGAGTCTCTAGAAAGAGAGTGTAGCGTTGTGGTTCAGCTTGTTGAGGTTAAAATTCCCACCACCACCGATAGGCCGTGAGTGGAGGAGCCGCTTGTGGGGTTGCGGCGGTGCATCCTTAGTTCTCCTCAGTATAAGTTCATAAGCTGTTGCATTGTCATTCTCGCATTCTTCGTTGAAGGTTACGGTCTTCCCGGTGTAACCTTTCCAACCACCATAATTTATCAGCTGGCCTGAATTATTCACATACAAATTTATCTCAGATTTTTCAAGCACGAGATTTTAGAGCCTGTCCGAGACATTTGCATCAGAAGCCTGGCTAATGAGCTTGACGTTAAAGGATAAATCTTCCATCAATTAAAGAAGAAAAACAAAAAATATGCATGATTTGAGCTACTCATTTTAATAAGGCTAGCCTTTTAAAATGGAACTCCAAATGTTAGTGTATCAGAGATTCAGAGCTCATTAAGATCAAATTCGTAAATGGATTTCAAGGTTGGTGTTCTTAAATGAGTCACTATCTTTCAAGACACGTTAAGGGCAATATTTGACATTGATTAAAGACATAACAAATAAATAGCATGTAATATGTGTTCTATGTCTCTTAACAAAATTCACCTTTTAAGATGAAATCACAAATCTTAATACTCGTTAGGCCAGTTGATTTCAAAGACATGCCAACCAAGAATGTGTCTACAAGATAATTAAAGCTTTTCCATGTAAACTGTCAAAACTAGGTTTCCATTTGATAGTAGTTTGATCCCAGTGACACCTTTGTTGGAAGTGTTCGTTTGCCAGATGATGCGGCTATTGGCTTTGCTAAGGAAAAAGTATCGTGGCATTCTCCTCGACATGGTGACGATGTTTGGCATCCCATACCCATCGCATGAGGTCATAGT